TTCACTGGTTTTACTTCTCTAGAGAACATAGCCTAAGATGGTATTTAACTTGCATTTATACATAAGGAGCCAGACCTTTGGAGATAAACTAACACTGACGCCAAAGGATTAGATGAGTCCCTGCATTGGAAGTGGTAGGAATTAGGGGTGCATAGTACAAACCGTTCTGTGCAGGGGTCATTGGTGAATTGTCCTTCTCATTGGTCAGTGGGTGAAGTGGAGAAGAGCTAGAGAAAGGGGTAAGATAGAAGTTTAAGAGGGAGTGTTTCAACCTAGTACACTGGTCAGCTGTGTGCATTACTGTGGAGAGTTCAGAGAGGGTGATGAGGATGAAGAAAGCTGGACTTGGATTTGGTGAGTTCAAGAGGACTAATGGCCATTGAGGGAAGTGCTTTGTACTTGTTGGAGGGGACACCAGGTTGCTAGCAGAAGTATTAGAGGTGAATGGTGCTAAAGAAACAGAGCAGTGCTATTTTTTGAGCAGTAAGGGGTAAAGAGGAGCCCTCTTGGTGCAGTTTTATGTGTTTGGACAGCTTAGCTTCTGTCCCCATCTGAAAAAGGGCAGATTTATAATATTTTCTACCTTATTTAGAGCTAATGGCAGTAGTGTTTAAGCGCTCAGCTGCTAACTGAACGGTTGGTGGTTCAAATTCACCAGCCACTCTGTGGGGAAAAAAAAAAAAGATGTGGCAGTCTGCTTCTGTAAAGATTACAGCCTTAGAAACCCTATGAGGCAGTTCTGCACTGTCCTGTAGGGCCGCTATGAATCAGAATTGACTTAACAGTATGGGTTTGGTTTGGTTTCAGTTTAGGATGTGAAGGAAATGGGAAGTAATGCACACTCATCGCAGTAGCACAGTAAAAGAACAGATTGTGTGCATGCAGGGAGGGTGAGAGGGCAGAGAATTAATAAGTAATAATAAGTCAAAGGGAAGAAGTCACTGTGTTGATAGAGTTAAAAAGCTGCAACAGATGCTTTTTTTATATATAATGAAATGATGCTAAAGATGTAAGAAGGCATGATCGATGGGCTAGGTCCCTGAGGAGTCAGGAAGGACTGTCCTAGGGCTTAGGAGGAAGGTTAAGTGAGTAAAGAAATGCAAAGCTGAAGCTGTAGACTCTGAGATGGAAGTAGGGATAAGAACCCCTTATGCATCTCTCATCTTCATGGCAAAGTAGGAATGAAGCCCCTCCCATCCAGGGAACAGGAAGGAAGGCTTAACATGAAAAAGGGTTGGAGTAGATGTCCTGGGAAGTTCGATAGGGAGGCAGCAATGAAATCATGTTTGTTGAGCAGCACTGAAGGTCCCTGTAAGTTAGTACGGTATACTGCAGTGGACCCTGTTTGGTTTTATGTTAATGGAAGCATTGTAGCAATGATGGAACAAGCTGAGAGAGAAACCAAGCAAGGCTAAAAGAGGGCTGATAGGAGAACAGAGAGGTGTTGATGTACTGGAGACCAATGCAGACATATGAGAGAATTAGGTAAGAATGGCACAAGAGCTTTCAGAATCTTGAGGTTTTGACACTGGGTTCATTGTGATAGGACATAGGCAAAAGAGGCTGGTTTGAGTGGCTGAAGTGGTGAGTAGAGATGAAGTTCATAAGAACCAGGAGGTCAAGGAAGTGTGAGGCTGGGTGTTAGAAGGGTATCAGAGGTTGATGTTAGGATCCAGGGTAGAGAGGGTAGTGAGGAAGGTATTGAAACTGTCCCAGAAAAGTTAGGATTGCATCGTTGAAGTCAACAGTAGCAGACAGGAATAGGTTTTTGAATATTGTAGTGTCATGGAAACGGTGGTACCTTGGACTATTAGTGACAGCTGTGTGCAGGTATTTTAGAATGGAGATGACTAGAGACAGCAAGAACATCATAAACCTTTCTAAATCATCTTGATAGGCCCCAAAGATGTATTTGAAATGATTGCTTAGAAATGGAAACACAGGGTTTGTTGGTTTGTTTTTAACCTAAACCAAAAAACCAAATTCAACTGCCATCGAGTTGGATCTGACTCATAGTGACTCCTCCTTGGGTTTGTGAGGCATTTTCACTACAGAAGTAGATTGCCCAGTATTCCTTCTGAGGAGTGGCATGTGAGTTTCAACCACCAACCTTCTGTTTAGCTCTCAAAATTAACAATAATACTTTATCTGAGGAACCGCTGATTGTATGTCAATTCTGTTGACATGATTGTAGGATTGGCCATTTAAAATTCTTATGTAAATATGATTTCATTACTTTGCAGTTAAGGATTTTTCTGTTGCTTCATGTAAAATGAGAGACTTAAACGTACATCCATTTTTGTTTTGTAGAATATAGTCAATATAATGCACTGAACGTTCCACTCCACAATAGGCGACATCAGGTAAAGGATGAAATATGTGCTTTTATTTTTAGCAATGTGCATGTCAAGTTTTTCAGAAATATCTAATCCAGAGAATTAGTTGGTTGAGCCTCTGTTTAATGCACTAAATCATTGTGTTTATCTTTTGCTGTACTTTCTGATACATATTTTTTGAAATTTATAACTTGTTTATAAAATTCATAAGTAACACAGGTTTTTTTTTTTTTGCTGTCTCTCTTGCCTGATAACATTAGAAATGAAGTATGAGATGCTTTAATTTTCTGAGCTGTACATTTATTCTAGTTTGGTAGACTTTGCACTTAGTGGACTAGGTTAAGTCGAGATATATTTGTCAAAATTGGTGGCTTTCTGATTAGTTAGTATCTTAGTTACTAGTGCTGCCACAGCAGAAATACCATAAATGAGTGGCCTTAGAATACAGAAATCCATTTTCTGATAGTTCTGAAGCTGAAAAATTGAAATCAGGGTCTTAGCCACGTTGAGCCCTTCTGTGAGACTCTCTCTCTAATGTCTGCCAGCGATGCTTGGTATTATTTAGTGTTGCTTGGTGTCTGTCTTCCTACTGTGTGTGTCTATTCTGCTCCTTTTTATAACATGGAAATGATTAGATTTAGGACCCACTCTACTCTGGTATGACCTCATAACATTAAAAGAAAACTCCTATTTTCCAACAAGGTCATGCTTATAGGTACAGGGTTTAGAATTTCAACATCGATAATTGGGGGATAATTCAATTAGAAACATTAAAATTTATGTGGAAAGAAATGAGTTTAAATTGAAGAATACATTAGAGTTTAAGTGTTTTCTCCAGAAGCAGGCCTAATAAAGTTGTTTTAGAGTAACAATTTGATATTTGACTTTAACTGTGTGCTTTCTAATTTTAAAGCTGAAGATGCGGGATATTGCCGGGCAGGCCCTGGCTTTTGTTCAAGATCTTGTGAAGGCTCTTCTGAACTTTCACACCTATACAGAACAGAGGATTCAGATTTTTCCTGTTGATTCTGCCATTGACACTATATCACCATTGAATCAGAAGGTAGAGTTAACTCAGAATACCTTTTGTTTGCCCTGAATAAAGAGAGAAAGAGGTTATTTATTTTCAGGCACGTCTATACATCAGCAAATTTGTAGTTACCTGTGTATATGAGACCTTTGGGCAGGTGCCATGGAGGAAGAAGAAAACTTTGTGTCATAGTTTTTACCCTTAAGACAAAATAAGGCAAATAATGTAAATTCGTAAGAAATTAATTAATACTTGGGAGCTCTGGTAGCATAGTGGCTAAGACACTTGACTGCTAACCAGAAGGCTGATGGTTCAAATCCACCAGCCACTCCTCGGAAGGAAGATGGGGCATCTACTTCCGTAGTGATACTGCGTCAGAAACCCAAGGAGGGGTCGCTATGAGTCGGGTCTGACTCGACGGCACATAACAACAACAACAACAAGGGGAGTTGTTAGAAGGTCTCCGTATGAGTGAGTGAGTGGTATGCAGTAAGCAGTATGAGGTCATCGAGAGAGAGATAGTTGCCGTTTGTGATAGTGTCTGGAAAGATTCTTTGTGGATTTGAGATGGGCCTTGACGAATGAGCAAGTTTGAATAGGAGGAGAGAAGGAAGGGTTGATTTCTTACCCTTAGAAAAGGGATAGACATGAGCGAATTCATGAAAGCAGGAGAGCATAGGGAGTGTATATGTGTTTCAGGGGAAAGGGGAGTAGTGAGCAAACTGTCTTGGCTACTGTATGAAGTTACCAAAAGGAGGGGTGGATATAGGGCTGAAATGAGAAAATAGGCCCCCAAGGGCAGGCCACAGTAGAGACTTCTTTGTAAGTAGGATTGAGGCCTTTGGAACTTTATGACCAGGGTTGTGACATAATGAAAAGTGGCATTTCATTATTTCCTGTTGTCATCAAGTCAGTGCAACTCCTGGTGAACCTCATGTGCCATAGAATAGAACTCCATAGGGTTTTCTTAGCTATAAACTTTATGGAAGCAGGTTGCCAGGACTTTGTTCTGTGGCACGGCTGGGTGGGTTTAAAGCGCTAATCTGTAGGTTAGTGGTTGAGAGCAAACTGTTTGTCCCACCCATGCACCCAATTTTATTAGTAAATTGAACCCACTGCCATTGAGTCAATTCCAACTCATAGCGAACTTTTTGGACAGAGTAGAACTTACCCCATAGGGTTGCCAAGGCTGTAAATTTTTATGAAAGCAGGCTGTGTCATCTTTCTCCCACAGAAAGATAGAACCACCAACCTTTGGGTCAGCAGCTGAATGCTTTAACCATTACACCACAAGAGCTCCTTAGATTTTATTATCAGGAGAGTTAATTTGCTAGCATTTTCCTTTCTTTTTATACTCACTGTATAGCTTTCATCATTGTTGTTGTTGTTGTTATGTGCCGTCGAGTTGGACCCGACTCACAGCGACCCCTCCTTGGGTTTCTGAGGCAGTATCACTACGGAAGTAGATTGCCCCATCTTCCTTCCGAGGA